GGAGGAGGGCGGAGGGGATGAGGGAGCGGCTGGTGAGGATGGGGGGCGAGAGTGGTGAGGTTGGGTATTCGCTGGAGGGGTGATGCCCGTGGGCTTTGAGGAGTGGGATGGTTAGTGAAGCTTTGTATTGGAGGCAAGTTCGACGAGGATATCGTATATAGGAGGTGTAGATGAAGGTATAAATTGGGGGGGGGTTTAGTATAGAGCTGGATGGGACGACATCTTTAGCACGAGTTCATACATTCTCCATTCCAAGCAATCATCTCTCTAGCTATGAAGAGAGCCAATAATCTTCCTCCTGCTGAATTGTATGTCAGGCAAGACTGATGCAATGTTCCATTCAATACAGCATCAAAAATCGGTACTATATCTTCTTCTATCACACGCAGCTATAACGCAACTTTAGCAACGTCCAACAAAAGGCTGCCGATCCTTTTCGGAAATAGCTCAACCTAGATGGAGCAGGTCCATGTACTGTAGGCATGTCCAGATACGGCATAAACACAATGTGATCACAAATGTGATTGGGGGCGAGAAGCGAGCTCAAGGGTAGTATTGGGCCAGGATCGCGATGCTGACTTTGTCCGAGCGCCGGGGGGGCGAACAAGATGAGGGAGGGGCTATATCCCACATGTTATCTTCATCAGACATAATATAATAATACTCTGGGTTTCATCGTCGCTCATTCATGAGCAGAGAAACTGAAAGTCTTTCTTCCCTCTTCACCAATTGGCAGTGTCTTGTGAACACAATTACTCATTCTGCATCTTCTGGGAACAATGGCTGCACGAAAGCAGTATGGCGAACTGCCTCCCTCGGCCAACGGAGAAGCCATCAAGCCATTCACACTCAACATTGCCGATGCCGAATTGGCTCGCATGAACACTCTCCTCCAGCTGTCGACCGTTGCGGCTGCGAATTACGAAAACACGTATGCCGACAGGTCGAACCAGTTCGGGGTGACGCGCGAGTGGCTTGTGGCCGCAAAGGATCGATGGGAGAAGGGCTTCGATTGGTAAGGCAGCTCACTCACTCACTGACTCCATTCCGTTCACTTATATATCTCTACGCACCCAAAACGCCATAACATAGATACCTAGTATTAAAGCATATTAACTAACAACGCCTCGCCATCTCATGACAGGCGCAAAAGAGAAGACCTAGTCAACTCCTTCCCCAACTTCAAGACCGCCATCCCCGTCCCCGTAAACGGCTCCCCAAGCACCTCCTCCTCCTCCTCCTCCTCCTCCATCAACATCCACTTCACAGCCCTCTTCTCCAGCAACCCCCGCGCGACCCCCATCGTCCTCCTCCATGGCTGGCCCGGCTCCTTCTTCGAGTTCCTGCCCATGCTCAACCTCCTCCGGGAGAAATACCCCGACGACGACGAGTTGCCGTACCACATCGTCGTGCCCTCCCTGCCCGGCTACGGCCTCTCCGACCCGCCTCCCGCGCGGCGCAACTTCACCGTCGACGACGCCACCTGGATGACGGACCACCTCATGACCAAGGCCCTCGGCTTCGACGCGTACGTCGCTCAGGGAGGCGACGTCGGGGCCTACGTGGCGCACTTCCTCGGCCTCGGCTATCCGGCCTGCCGCGGCGTGCACCTCAACTTCCCCTCCGTCCCGCCGCCGCCGGACTTTGATGCCGACGGCGGCGCCCTCGACGACGCGGACGAGGAGGGCCTGCGGCGGAACGCCGCCTTTGCCATGACGGGCGCTTCGCACGCGATATGGCATGCCGTCAGGCCGGCCACCGCCGGGCTCGTCGTCATGGCCAGCCCCCTCGCCATGTTGGCCTGGTTGGGCGAAAAGTTTCTTTATTGGACCGACCCGGCGTCGTTTCCGGACTCGCCCAAGGATCCGCAGCAGGCGCCGGACGGGGAGAGGCTCACCTACTCCGTCCAGCTGATGGACGAGGCCATTGCCGAATCGGCCCTGTATTACCTCACCGGATGCGCGAGCACGAGTCTGTATCCCTACCGCGACCTCATGTCCAGGGGGCAGGACCCGACTGCCGCGTTGAGTAGCGTCATCGCTGCACCCAAGATCCTTGGTTACTCGTGGTTTCGACATGAACTCGTCATGGCACCCAAAGCGTGGCTGGCCAAGATTGGGAACCTGGTCTTTTTCAAGCGGCACGATAAAGGAGGGCACTTTGCGGCGCTGGAGCAGCCGGCGGCCTTGCTTGAGGACGTGGAAGAGTTTGCCAGCAAGTTGGTGCTGAAGTCGTAGTGATATGCACGTGCTTGTCTGCGTGATGGGCAAGGCAGTCTATAGTTTGCAATGTTTCAATTCATATCTGGTCCATCTGGATGGGACTCAAACCTGGTCGTAACGGTCATTAAAATTGAGAAGCAAAGTCGGAGAAGGGACAGAGAAAAGAGGACAGCAAAGAAGACAAAGAAAGCAAGTACGAGCGCAGCATCAGCCTCTTGTCAGACCTTGCAGCCCAGATCGCATGGCAGCCCGCTCCCGTGAAACCCAGACACTGCCAGATAGTAAAGAATGGTGAACACAGAAGACGAGATGATCACTTCCTGCCGCGAAAGCCACCGTCGATTCCATAGTCTGCGAGGCACAGCCCGTGAACAGGAGACATCTCGCCATGAGCCAGACCCCGCCTACGCTTGGCCATCTGCCACAGCACTTCCATGTCCGTCCCGAAAGCTGTCGCTCGGGGTAGGACTATAGGGTCCGGCGGCCTCCTGATCCTCAGGTCAATCGAAAACCGCTTCCACTTGGTGATGGCGTCGCCCCCAATGCGAGGATCAACAACTTCAAATAGAATGGCCTTGCCTTCGGGTGTAGGCAGCACCTCTTCAAAAACCACTGCGCCGTACTGCTCCAGCCTCTGAATGGGCGATGAAGCTTGGTACGCCGGGTCGGCTTCTTTCTCTGGACGGAGAGCGAGTCGAAAGGTCTTCTGAAGCCTCCGCTTGTCTCCTCGGCCGCTCAACATGACGAGGTCGTAGCTCCGGATTGGGTCGTCCGCGACCTCGACACGCGTTGCTGCCTGCTGCATCCATTTCACAAAGGGATGCATCATCCCCCACCACACGGCGAGGTCCGACAGGAACATGTTAAAGTCAAAGCGGACATAGCGGATGCTGGTCCAGTTGAGCAGTCTCGGATCGCCGCTGTGGATGTAGTCGTGGCTAACGTCCTTTGCTTCCAGGATATAAGGCCAGTCCTGGATGCGATAAGATGCGTCAATCATGCCCCTGAAGCCCGGCCCGTCAAACGCACTCAGGGACTCTTTGAGAATAACGAGATCCATGGCATTGGTCGGCACTTTTGGCTTCGGCCTCAACATCTCGGGCTCTGGCACAGGCTTGTCGGGAGGCGCCGTGTCTGCAAAGTGGAGGGTGTCGACGTCAAAGTTGAACAGGATGCGCGGCGAGGCATCCAGGACAACGGGCCAGTCCTCATAGACCATGTCCATCTTGTGATTCAGCACACTGCGGGTCTCCAGGTTCTTGTAGTATTTGCCCAGTATATGGCGAGCCTCGGCGTTGACGTGCATCGCCACGGGAGGGCGGACGGTGCTCCTGACGCTCCAGCGGCCTTTGCCAATCCGACAGGGAACCAGGCCGACAAGGCGAGGCTCGACGGTGGCCAGCCAGATCTTCTCGCGGAGCTCATAGGGGAGTTGGGAAAGGGTGACCATGCTGGTGAGAAGCTCTGGTGACAGGCGATGGATGGATGGTCAGAGATGGGGGAACAAGGTGGTGTACTTGGGAGTGCGGAGTAGCTCTCGTTCTTATACACGGAGTTCACGTGTAACCAGCGAGCGCAAGATAATGCTGAGACTGGGCTACCAGGATTGGGAACAAGGATCAGTCAGGATCAGACTCAGGCCAAAGAGAGAATAACGTCGTGATAGACCATGCAGCACCTGTTTGTTTCCCGTCGAGAGCCTTGAGCCAATGGAGGGACCAGACGGGCTGTGAAGCTGACGAGCTGGCAGGGATGCAACTGAGGCGAGGCTGAACGGTCGAGACGCCTCGCATGCAGCGGGCTAAGAGAAGACGCAGACAAGCTGGACTGCATTCGCATTGGTCATGTGAAGCATCGCAAGCGGGCGCATGAGACTGGAATTGTCAATGAGTAAGTAGATAGTCGCTGTTGGAGGATGATCGAGCGGTTGCGCATCATCGACCCCGGGTTTTCACGGCTTGCTCCAGGGTAGGTTGTTGGGGGTTGAGTTGGACCAAGACGGGCCATTCCCAGTTGGGCCAGATGAGGTAATACATCATCACTACAAGTACTCCGCCCAGTGCCTGGGTGCCCCTCAGGCTTGTCACAGCGCTGAACTTCAGTGGTGCGTGTCCTGCTGAAGCCTTGCGCCCAGACCAGCCGCCCGCTAGGCCCCAAGCGCGCTAGTGCCCTGCCCAGCGGCCTTGTCTGGAAGCTTGAGCACCGCAAGAGATCCATTACAAGCCAGAAACACCAAGCAAGCAACTTCGTCATCCGTCTTCGCTCTCCCATATCCGAACGGCTCTCATCTCGATCTTGTGCTCCCGAGACCTCCAACAGCTCGACCCCCCCGTTCGAACACCCTCCGATAGAGCTGCCGTCACCGTCACCATGGGCGCAGACCCCCAGTACGTCAAATGGCCTCTGCTGCCGCTGTCCCAGCACGTCTTCACCCTCACAAACGCCTATGCCTCCAAACAGGCCCAGCAGGCCGCCGCCAAGGCCCTGCAAGACGCCATCGCCCAGGACAAGATGGCGCCCTTCTACCGCTACCTGGCCCATCCCATCGACGGCATCCTCAACGCCGTGGGCGAGAGCGGCTCCTCAGCGCCGGGCAAGCCCCCGAGCCGGAAATCCAGCCTGGTGGGCATGGTGGCGACCAAGGCGGCCACCGGGGCCGTCAATCTGCCGTGGGACGAGGACCTATACAACAAGCTGAAGGAGGACAACGACGCGGAGCTGGCCGCCTTCCAGAAGGAGGAGGATGAGGCCGAGGAGCAGGCCGGCGACACAGAGGTCATGGCTGCCAAGGGCAAGCGAGCCGACTTTTGGGCCCGGGTGGGCGACAAGGTGCGACTTACTTCTGCTCTCTCATAATGCTGGTGTGATGCTGCCTGGGGATGGAACAGAGCTGACCGGTTGGTTTTTTTGTGTTACAGGACAAGGCAATCGCCGAGTTCGAGAGCTTATTCGAAAAGACGGGCATCCTGGGCACCAAGATCGACCTGGTGCTAGCCATAATACGCATGGGGCTCTTCTACGGCGACAAGCCCCTCGTCAAGGCGCAGGTCGAGCGGGCCAAGACGCTCGTCGAGTCGGGCGGCGACTGGGACCGGCGCAACCGCCTCAAGGCCTACGAGGGCCTGCACCTCATCACCGTCCGCGCCTACAACACGGCCGCGCCGCTGCTGCTCGACTCCCTCTCGACCTTCACCAGCTACGAGCTCTGCACCTACTCCAACCTCGTCGTCTACTCCGTGCTGGCCGGCTCCGTCTCGCTCAAGCGCGTCGACTTCAAGTCCAAGGTCGTCGACGCCCCCGAGATCAAGGCCATCATGGGCGACGGCGAGGACAAGCTGCTGGCCCTGAGCGGCGCCCTGAGCGCCGGCCCCGGCGCCGAGGACCCCGCCGCGGGCGATAAGCTCCCCAAGGCGGCCACGACGACGGCCGTCAACCTGACGACGCTGGGAACCAGCACCGACCAGCCCGAGGCCGAGATGGCCATCGACTTCAGCCCCCTCGCCCTGCTCGTCAGCAGCCTGTACAACGGCAACTACAAGACCTTTTTCCAGTCGCTCGCCTCGGTCGAGGAGCAGTTCCTCAACCACGACCGCTACCTGCACGAGCACAAGAGCTGGTTCATCCGGGAGATGCGCCTGCGCGCCTACCAGCAGCTGTTGCAGAGCTACCGCGTCGTCGGGCTGGAGAGCATGGCCAATGACTTTGGCGTCACCGTCGACTTTTTGGACCGGTGAGTTTCTAATTGGCAATAATTCTCTTGTTTACTTCACGAGCGATTTACTGACGATCATCTATGCAGTGACCTCGCGCGATTCATTGCCGCCGGCCGCATCCCCTGCACCATTGACCGCGTCACGGGCAAGGGCGTCATCGAGACGAACCGGCCGGATGACAAGAACAAGCAGTACCAGGACGTCGTCCGCCAGGGTGACCAGCTGATTACGAAGCTGCAAAAGTACGGCCAGGCCGTCAGACTAAGGGGAAGTGAGAGGGCATGAGTGATTGGGTGAAAAGAGGGATAAGGAGAAAGAAAGGGGAGGCAGATATATATTTAAATGTAGACTTTGTCTCCCATCGTCTTTGATGGGAAATCTTTCCCATCATTTTCCATAAGGGAGACGCAAAATGAATCTGCACGATCCCATGTTGTTCTGTATCGTACATCACCTACTAGGTAGATGGGAGCCTACAGTAAAGATAAAACGATACAACACAAGCATCAATGAACAAATCTCGAGTTACGATGTTGGCGCGCCATCGTCCAAAGTGTTGACTCTAAAACATACATACTGCTAGGTGCCCCTTATTTTCCCCTTTCACTTTCTACATGTATATCATTTCGACATGAACATCAGGCTCTATTTATCCCGCTTTCACTTCAAGGCAAAAGATGCCGCGCAATAAGAAGATCTTCCAAGTAACGCTCACTTTTTTCCCCCTTGAAAACACCTCTACCCTATTTGACACCATGCAATTTTTGTTCACGACGCTGGTACATACATGAGCGCAGATCCCGTCTACCTATACTTGTCCATAAACTCCTTGTGGAACTTGACGATCCTGCCGACCCAGTCCGTGCCGGGGGCAAGGAACGTGGTGCGGAAGTGCAGCGTGCCCTCCTTCTGGCCGAAGCCGCTGCCGGGGACGACGCAGACGCCCGTGGCCTCGAGCAGGCGCATGCAGTAGAACTCGTCGGGCTTGCGGCCCTCGGCGGCGGCGGCGTCGATGGCCTTCTGGGAGAGGGTGATGGTGGGGAAGAGGTACATGGCGCCCTGGGGCTCGCCGCACTCGACGCCCTCCATCTGCTCAAAGGCCTTGTGGAGGGCGTTGGCACGCTCGCGGAGGCCGTTGGCGATGCCGCTGTACTCCTTGTCGTAGAGCTCGAACGAGGGGTCGCCGGGCTGGGGCGGGTTGACCATGAGCTCGACCAGGCACTGGCCGATGACGGGGGCGCAGAGCATGATGGAGACGAACTTGTAGATGGCGGCCTCGACCTCGGCGTCGAAGCCGACGAGCTCAAAGTAGCCGCCGCGGTGACCGCACTCGCCCACCATGCCCTTGGAGACGCTGTGCAGAGAGGCCAGCTCGACGTCGTCGTACTTGCCGGGGTTCTCCTGCTGCATCTTGCGCAGGACGCCCTTGAAGCTGTGGAACTGGCCGATGAAGACGTTTGTCTGGTAGACCTCGTCGGCCATGATGACGAGCTTCTCCTTGCTGGCGAAGTCGATGACGGAGCGCACGTCGTCCTCGGACAGGGAGGCGCCGGTGGGGTTGCCGGGGTTGATGATGACGATGCAGCGGACGTCGACGCCCTCGGCCTTTGCCTTTTCATGCGCGGACCGGATGGCCTCGAGGTCGGTGCCCCAGGCCTTGTGCTCTTCGAGGTAGTAGGGGACGCAGGTGGCGTTGAGGACGGAGAGGGTGGCGGTGTAGAGCGGGTATTGGGGGATGGGGACGAGGACGCCGGACTTGGGGGACTCGGCGAGGATGTGAAGAAGGGTGTTGACGCCGGACGAGGCACCTGCAGAGAGGTAGATCTTGGCAGGGTCGGCCGGGAAGCCGTCTCTCCCTATGGACACGCATTGTGTAAGTCACTAATTTTTCGAGAAAAGGAAGAGGCTGTACTCACGCTCGAGGAACTTGGCAATGCTCTCCTTGATGGCGTACACGCCGCTGCTGGCGCTGTACGCACCCACGGAGCCGCAGTGCTTGAGCAGGAACTTGGCACGCTCGATGACGTCCGTCTTGTAGCCGAGGCCGTTGATCAGCACGTCCTCCTTGTCGAGCAGCTGAGGGTTCTCCAGCAGACTCAGGACCTGGCGGAAGAAGGTGATGGGCTTCTGGTCCAGCTGCTGCGGGTTGCCGATGTTGGCCGAGATGACATGGTCAAAGGGCAGGCTGGTGTCGCCCTTGCTCAGCTGCGCGCGCAGCTCCTCCGACTTGACGGCCAGCTCGCCGCGGACGGCGTATTCGGCGGCGCGGACGTGCGGGTTGATGTTGTTGATGTTGAGCCGGCCCATGTTGGCGGTGGTGGTTGCGAATGTGCGGGAGGAAGCGAGACTGAGACGGAGACGGTGCCTGAGACTGAGTTGGTGGGGTGGACGAAGCCTTGTCGATGGCGGGGCAGAAAATGCGAGCAGCGATCGCCGAAGACCGGCAGCTTCTAGATCTTTTTATGGGTAAGTTCGGGCAAAGATCTCGACAGGCGCAGGAGGGGAAGAAGGGAAGAAAAAACTGGGAAAAGAAGCGGTCTTCAGGGTGAGGAGATTCCACGCAAAAGGGGGAAATATGAGTAAAAATCAAGCAGCACGGACAAGCAAATCCGCTGTGTGGAGCGTGCGGTCTGCGTCTGGACCCTGGAAAATGCCCAAGCAAAGGCGGCCAAGGAAACTCTCGGCTGATGGCTAGGACAGCCACGGGGTCGCTGCTCTGGCTCGTTGGGCCCGGACGTCGCCACACCATATCTTGCATGTCCATGACAACGCAGAGATCGGTCGCTTCGTAGCACGCGTCATCCGTTTGGATTGGTGGGCTTGAGGAGCGTAGCAGCGTGACTGCGGCAGCAGCATGAGGCGCTCAGACGCAGCGCTTACAGCGAGCGCCTGGTGTTGCGGAAAGACAAAACAAAAGCTTCGCGGCTTGCGATGAGCTTGAAGCCGTGTGATCCCTTGGCCGTATCATTGCCATGATCCTTGCCAATGGCTTGTACGTCCAATGATCATTTGAAGAGACAAACCGAAAGAAGAACCAGACGGAGCGCACAAACAGCGAGAGAAGAGAATCTGAGAGCCAACCTACCAGCTATCCGGGACGCGCCCAGCAGCGCTCTCCCAGCCCTCGTCGACATGATGCCCAGCTACACGACCAAGCGGCGACGGACGGATATCCTCGATGGCAACGAAGGAAAAGTCGCCTCGATGATGGACGATGAGAAGAAACAATGACCACCGCACCGATGAAGGACGCGCGTTGTCTGTGGATGGATCTCGTTGGCTTGAGAACCCTCGTGGCTGGTCGGCCGGGCCTTTTTCCCTACACGTACGGATACTTTTTGGCCGCACCCTTCTTCCCTCCATCTCTGACTACCTACTACTACCTACAAGGCTTACCTAGTAAGTTCCTACCTGCTCCCTCCGTAATACGGCGGCCGTATTTTATGAACAATACGGACGTTCCCGGAGGACGCTAAATGGACATGGTGAAAAGACATAGAGAGACACCGTGTAGTAAGAGGTAGAGAAACCCTTGGCGCAAGGCTGATGGTAATTTCCTGCCTTCGCTGGTGAGCGAGATGGACCCCTAGAACAGCTTCTGGCAAGCGGTTTTTGGCAGGGATTAAGGTGCACCAGTAAGCCGCTATCGGCGCGGCTCCCGCCTAACGTAAGTCCGGCAATCTGCAGGGTTCTCTGGGAGGAAACAGAAAAAAATGCTTGAAAGTTGATCGATCAAGGTTAACCATGGCACCCCCACCAACAACTGCCAGTTGCTTGAAAGCCCACTAAATCCTCGGACTTCGGCGCCACCTTTACCCGGGAGAGCATGCTCGTCAGTGCTCGGAATTTGCGATGCCATCGCGATTGCATCGAACGACGTCTTTCTGAGCGCCTGAGGGTATCGTCGACACAATGGCCAAGAAAGGTAAAGTTGTAATCTCCAACGATTCGAGCAATAAAATCTCGAATGCCAGGCGAACGATGCTGACAGCCTCCCAGCAAAGGCAAGATTGATCAACGTCCGGCTCATCTCCATGGCCATGACCGGCTTCTTCTACACCTTCAAGAGGCCCAGAACGGCGCCCATGATGGGCATGCTCAAGTACGACCCGATAGGTATGGCTCGTCTGATCGAACACTCCTCTGGGATTCTGCAGCACGATTGCTGATTTTGGCTGCTGTTCAGTCCGCAAAAAGGTCTTGTTCCTCGAAACGAAGAAGCGATCCAAATAACAGCGTTCCTCGAGCGATGTAAATACCGACTATACACCTCACGGGCCGGAAAATAACGACTGGACTTGCGGACCGTCTGATGATTTTCGAAAATGTGGCTACCTTATGTACAGTATCAATATGGGCATTTCTGGAGTTTGAGGAAGGGCTGGCATTGCGATTGATTCGCTCGCCGTCACGATACCGGGTCTGTTTGGAATAAAATTCACTCCCAAAAGCATGTCTACATGCCGTCTTTGATCTAGCCTCGTGTGACTATGAGCAATGGCAAAAATATAGCGAATTAAGAGCGCACGATTTTCCCGTTCTGGACACAAACACATCGCGAATATCTCGAATCAACTCCGTCCAACCGTTCCATCAGGCGACCTTGACCAACCACATTACTCAACACGGCACTCAGTTCTGGCCTTTTTCAAATCTCGGTTGCTGGCATCAAAAGAGTCCAAAGCTTCTTGGCTGTCCTGAGGTGCTTGTCTTTTCTTGCTTGCCAGCTGAATGTCCCGCTCGAAGTCAGCCACAGTCGGAAAGCTCCAGTCGTGCCGGAGCAACCTCGAGCGAATCTCAGCGACCATGTCCTTGGCCGAAGCAGATGTCGACTTGTTGAGAGAGCCGTTCATAGGCCTGCCATGATTGGCCTGTGGTCGAGCGGAAGGGCCCTCTAGGTCGCCTGCTTCGACTGCGCCAGAGAGGGCATGTGTTTTGAGAATCGACCTGAGCTGAGTAATTTCGCGGCGGCGCTTCTGCTCCTGCATCACAGTTGGTGGAGGTAAGGGGGAGCCCTCACCTGGATCGGGACTGTGGACAGTAACTTTGCGGTTGATGATATCTTCTTTGACTGATGAACCTTCTGTCACTAGGTGGGCTTCAACGGAACGTGCCAGCGGTGTTTCAGTAGCCTCAGAGGACGTTGCGGGCTCCAAGGCGGCCGGCTTTGGCATGATGGCCTCAAGCTCTTCCTGAACCCATTCTCTTTCTGTGGCCAGGTAGCTTGCTGACGATTGAATAGATCTGCTAATCTCCACGATTCGATCCAGCTTTTTGTCGTACTGCTCGACCTGTGGGATTTGCTCCTCTATAGCCTTAAGCTGTGATCGGACGGCGCCAACAGTCTCGACGTCTTTGAGCCATTGATTGCGCAGCTCTTCCGTCTCCTGAGCTTTCTGCTCAAGCCCCTGAATCTGGCGTCTCAGCTGTGCGGCGGCCTCGCGCTCGCTTTGCAAGGTCGCTTGCAACTCGTTAGTGGTATGATCAGTCTGCGAGCCAAGCCTCTTCTGTTCATTGATGTGAGACGTCAACACCTTGACAATGTCTTCGTTCCCTTGAAGCAGTTGCGAGGTTCTGTTCCTCTCCTGGCCAAACCCTTTCTCTAGAGTGGCACGAAGCTCGGCTGCTGCGTTCCTTACAAACCTTGTCGTTTCTCCTTTGTCGCTGATTGCTCCAGCGATCATTGTCTCAAGCTTTGCTGTGAATCCCTCATATGCTTGCAGAATCTGGCGTTCCAGGCTGTCAAACTTGGTCTCGCGAGCCGAAAGCTGCTTCATGAGGCCCTGTAACAGATTGCTTGTCTCGCTCTGGTTGCTTTGCTCGCTGCCCACGAGTACGTCAAATTTCTGGCCCATCTCTTCACACGAGCTCTCGGTTCTCTTCAGACAGTGATCCAGCTTCTGCAGATGGTTTAAGAGTTCTTCGACTTGCTGATTGCTTCCCTCTTTACTTTCTTTGCAAGCATCTATCAGCTGGATTGCCTCGCCTTTGAAAAGGTCGAGATCTCGTCCAATTGATGCTTCCAGATGCGACACTGCGGTTGTCATGCCAAGCTGCCCATTCTCCAGGGAATGAATGGCTGGCGACAATCTAGCTTTCTGTTAGTAGTGATACAACTACTCGCCTTTGCAAACTCTCACCTTTGAAAGATATTCTTTTCAGCAGCAGCGAGCTGGAGTTCCAGGTCATCCCTTGACAGCATATTGGATACGACTACGTTGCCGCCAGCGACCAGGGAATCCAGTCTGCATGAACGTCAGAGGATCGTCCGATTGCAAAGTAAGAAAAATAAAATACTTCAAACTTAGCATTTTCATCACTTGTGTGTTCTGTTGAGCATCCGAGTGGCGTTGCTCGTCTTGTTCCGCCTGATGTGCTATCAAAGCGTTCACTTTGGCCTCCAGCGTCCGTACGCACTGATATGTCATACTCTGCTCTTCAGTCTGAGTATGAATATGATCGGCAAAGAGCTTTTCTTGAGCCAGTAGAACTTCCTGGAGGGATAGCTTCTCTTTAAGCTCCGATACGGCTTGGTTCTCTGCTCATCTCATTAGCTAAGTACCATGTTGAACGAAAGCCATAATACTGACTCTGCTGAATAGCTTCTTCCATCTGCATGCGGTACTCTTCCAAGCACCTCTTCATCTCGTCTCTCTTCTGACGGCTGCTCTCCAAAGCCTTGTCGACAGCGTCCGAGTCTAGCGTTTTGCGCGCGTTTTCTTTCCGAAGCTCGTCCATCATCTCTTCATAAAAAGCACGTGAGCGTACAAACAGCTCTTGTTGTTCCATGATGGCCTCATTGAGCTTGTCTCGACAAGCCCGATGTCTGTCATCGACAAGCTCCCTTTGCTTCTTCTCCTCGGACAGTTGCTGCCGTAGAGTCGTGAGCTCCACGCTTAGGGTCTTGTTGTCTCCTTGTACTCGGGTATCCTTTTCAAGCAACGTCGTGTAAAGCTTCTCAATCTCGGATAGCTTGGCGTCTTTCTGGTTTAACATCTCTCGGGCTTTTTCAAGCTCAGACTCTTGGTGGTGGATCTCCTCTCGGAGCCTCTGAGCCTCTCGACGGGCAGCTGAGGACTCCTCAGCTGAGATCTGAACGCATTCGTTCCAATGGATGGCGGCTTGCTCCATTGCCAATAATTTCCTATCTGAATTGGACGATGCGTATAGATTCTGAGCTCGCGACCTCTTCTTGGAGATGTTGCTGCTTGCAATGGAAGAGGATCTCTGTCGAGATGGATGCTCATGACCTTTCGTAGAGCCATATATCATCGGCCTGTTTGTATGGTGCTTGTGACGATGACGGGTTTTTGCAGGGCTGTAGTAGGTGGGAAGCTCGAGATCGCCGCAGACGCTGGGGGTTGATTGGCGCCGAGGGTTGGAGCTCATCTTCTTGATATGAGACCGGTGCCGTGGCACATCAACGGCGTCAACTGGTTTACAGGGAGCTGCTTTGTGATTGACGGTCGTAAGCAAACCACTACGTTGTATCTGCGCCGGCGAAGAAGTGAGGTTTGGCGGCGACAACAGCTTGGTCACTTGAGCCGTCTCTCCAGCATCCTTTGGCGAGCAGCTCTGAGGGCACGGCAAGTCTGTGGAAATGGTTCCACTAGAGGGCGAGAAAAACTTGGACTTCTGCAATCTGTTAGACATCGAGCCTTTTGTTACATAGCATTGGCGCATTCCAGAGGCAAATTGCAAAATCAACCCGACTTACAAGCTGATGCTTCTTAGAGTCCTCTGCATCGCCTTTCTGCTGCTGAGCGCTGTCTTTGTTGCCTGATTTGCCTGGAAGACAGAGCTCCGGTAAGTCCAAAGGGGAAGCTCTCGCCACTTGCTCACTATTATTATGCTTTGCAGATGGACCAGCAGGAGTCTGGCATGACACTGGAGGCCGACGGTCAAGGGGCTCCTTGAAGAGGCCAGGCCGAGGAATATCGGAGAACTGGCCAGGGCGATGTGGTGCTCTGGGTGGGAAAGTGAAGCCCTCGGACAGTAAGGCCTCAGATATTTCTTGCTTGTCGTCAAACATACCCTTGGCCCAGTCCTTGGCGCCATTCTCTTTTGTTGACGGAGAGATGGGATCCGGGACCCGCGAGAGTATGTCGCCAAGGCCTTTCCCCTTGATGGGCCATTTGGAGTCCACGTTTTCTTTGCCGGGTGACACGCCACTAGGGGCAGGATCAGAGCTGAGAGACTTCATAGCTCGGCTTCTGATGCGGATATCTTCCTGAAAGCGTGAGAGATGAGGCCTGTAAGCTGCACTTCCCGTCCTGATTTGATAGGAGTGGGCGTGTGGTAATTGAAGCCACCACAGCGCCTTAAGGTGACGACCATGAGAAGTTCAAATTGTTAAAGAAGCAAGAATTGAGTTTCATGGCAGGAGAATCTTTGTATCTGTAAGGCGGTCAGTCACTGCAAGCGAATGCACATGGGCAGTAACCGTGGAGGAAGGAGGTGGTGGTGCACCTTCCAGCGATACGTCGGGGAACACTCGCCCTCAAGTCCAAAGAATTGCAGCCGAGATTGAGGATTGTTTGTCGACTATGGTACGACCTAGAAGCTTGTTCCTTATCAAGAATAAGGCAGTTTCTAGTATGACCGTCATATTGTTTCCGAAGCCAATGTATAAGGCAGTGAATTGTTGGACAGAGAGGATGAAGACGTCACAGCCAAAGCCTGAACGCTGCTTGAATTAGGAATCAAGTCTTTATCAGATGGCTATCAATGCCTCTTTCTTGCTGATACTATCTAGAATGACTGTTCATCTTTTCTGCTATTGTTGTTTTCTTCTACTGTCGCCATCTGGTAGTACATCACAATCTATCTTCCTTTGCATCAATACTACACATATCGTGTGGGATGCTGAATAGCAGGGTTGAGGCGCTGGCTAGTATCCTCTATCCTGAACTGAGATGGACTCTAAAGGATTGCGAAATAGTAGATGCTCGACTCAATGGCGCGACCTTTGTCTCTGCCTTACTGACAATCCGCATGCTTCGAACCGCGCAGCCGTTGGTAGTAAATGCAATGGAGCATCCCGCAAAATGCCTTGGCCGCCTTGTATGAGCCCATCCTGAGACACTGCGAGTAATGGCGCTGAGTATCAACCTCGCAGACCTCCGCAGCAGTCAGAAACCACTTACTCTGTCGTCCAATCCTTCGCACCAGCATCGCACAAAGCCTCACCGTCTCGAAACTCCTCAAACGGCATATTTCTGTACCGGTAGTGCTCATGGCCGACAGAAATGCTGCATGGAGCTCTGCTCCCCTCCAAATTGAGAGACCAACCTTCATCACCAATATCACCCTTGTGCCTTCTTGAATCGCCATAAGCGCGATGCACCACGTCTCCCAGTCACAAAAATAGGCTCTGCTTAGTCTCGCATCGTCACGGAGCCGTCACAGACAGATTCTGCGTGATGCTCCTGCTGTTTGGTTCGCTCGAGGTGATGCGCAAGACGGCAGCGATGCATCCCGTACACCTCATTGGCCCAGACCCCTGCATGCGCCGTTGGCGTCGGCGCTTGTATGAAGAGACGAGGCCAATCATGGCGGTGCAACTCCGGGCTCTTGGTCTTATCCAGGCACAAACGAGTCACAAAGGAGAGAGAGGCCGGGGCCGATGGGCAGCGCAGGGCGGTAAATGAGACTGTACATGGCCCGCGGCCGGCATTCGCATGCAGGCACACTTGTCGCAAGGAGAGCTGGGGGGGTGGAAAAGAGGATGATGGGACAGATGGAGAGGAGAGGAGAGACACGGGCGGTTCTGAATAAGAGTGGGCTATGGCGCTGTATATCTCCGGTCCAGCGTCTGATCTTTGGATGTTGTTGTTCTAAATATTCTTCTGCTTGCTGCCCGTCTCGAGATATCTCGTACGATATCTCGATTTCTCAGACGATCCTCCCTGGCTGCGCCAGTACACAATACCTAGATACACAGCGCATACGAGTACAGACGGCAGAAAACCAATCGAGGGCCTATCACCATGTCGCAGACATCAGCGTACTTTCCTCTGGCGACGGACGACTCATGGCAGGGCGCATCTGGCAGCATCACTGACCCGGACGGAACCGAGGCCGGTGCCGCAGGCGACAGCTCTGCCAACTCCATCACCCTCTCAACCGGAGCTCTGGTGGCCATCATCATCGTGGTTGTGGTCGTCATCTTGATCGGCAGTAAGCAAAACCCCAAAGACCTATACAGTAATTTCCTCCAGTAATGCTGACGCTTTCCAGTATCAACCGCGACCCTCTTCTTCATCGCCAAGAAACGTGAATGGACCATCAAAGAGACCATCAGACGGTCCACGAAGAAAGTCGCCATTGCTCTCACCCCCAGACGATCCGAGTTCCCTCGTTCTGTTAAAGGATCAACGCGCTCTAACCGACGGGGGCGAACCAAGCTTGACGACGTGCCGCCAACTCCTCGACTGCGACCTGAAGATGTGGAGAAGGGTCTGGCTCGAAGCGAGAGCAAACCAGCCGAGCGCAAGTCTGACGACAAATGATGGCGTGGAGATGGGCGTGTATGTGTTGAATCGGTGTAATGGCGTACAGGTTGGGTCAGGAACGGCTAATGGGCGACTGTGCTTCTTGTCTTCTTGTCTTTTCTTATCGATGAAATTATGATTTCGCTCATGGCGTCCCAATGTATATACAGATATCCTTTTTGCTTCCTTTTTTCCCCCTTTACTTGGTATTTAAATTGATTATGGGTATCACATCCTTCTAAATGTGTTTGAGCTGGCACTTCTCCTGCCCTTGTTGGAGCGCCTCTGTGGAGGGAGGGCGTCTTCTTCCTCGCCCTGCTGGTGCTGCTTCTTCTTCCTGGACTCTGGCACAAAAGTGACTGATCTCTCTCCGCGAACTTCGCCAAACTGGGCTTTGCTGGCGCGTGCAGACTTCTGTTGTCTGGAGCCCAGTGCGGAATCCTTGACTTGTCGACCCTCGTTCTGCGTCGATGAAACCTTCATCACCACGTCATCCTTGGGCCCAGAGATAGGCTCATCCGCGTCGCTAGACTCTTCATCAGAATCCTTGCCTTGGAATTTAGTCGTTCCATGCTTGGCCTCCATAGCCTGTTGAACTGCTGTGCTCGGGTTGAGAGCCTTGAATTCACCGCTGTTCTCATCCACCAAGAAGTCTTCGTCTTCGAACAGCTGGGTGAAACGCTTGTCTCCCAGGAGGCCGGCGTTGGTGTCAACCTCATCTCTGTTCTCCTGCTTCTTGAGAAGCTTGTCGACGAGTTTCTGGTTGACCTTGACCTTCTTTGTGCCTCTGATGCGGCTAGCGCGCTCCTTTTCAACCCTCTCCTTGACGCGCTTCTGCCTCTCGTCCTCGAATGCGTAAGGGTTTGTGATGAGCTTGGCCTGCTCGTACAGCTTGGATGCCACAAAGTAACCATGCATATATGGCCGCAACAGATTCGTCTTTCCGATCAAGTGCGACAGGCTGAGCTGCTTCAGCTCTGGCAGGGTCAGGAACTTGTAGTTGTCGTAGGTCTCCGTGCGGACTTCTTCCGCCATCTCTTCCACCATGTTATCCAAGAAAGAGCACCATTTGGGAGCCGGACCCAGCTGGGGCACGAAGAAGGCATGCTGCTGCTTGCCTTCGTTTGCCGTAAGCAGCATGCCAGTGTTCTTGCACCAAGCCACGTCGTTGATGTCGACTACGGGCTCAACTGATGTCCATGGGTCGCCCGTTGCCTCATCCCAGATCTTGATGATGCGCTTATCAGCCGACAGAACCTTCTTCTCCTGTGACGAGGTTGTCATGTGAATCAACTTCTTCACGGCAAAGCCATAGCCGTGATCCTTCTTGAGCAAGGGCGTTGGACGACGGAGGTCATACAGCTGGATCATGCCGGTCGAGCTGCCGGTCGCCAGCGACAGACCGGAGAAGTGGAAATCCAGGGCTGTGACGCCGCCGTCATGGCCGGCAAGCAGCGCAACTCGGGATCTTGACCGGGGATCCCAAAACTCCACCGTACCTATTGATGTACCGAATGCGAGCAGGTTGTGTGTATCTTCGGCGATGGCGGCGCAGTTTACGCTGCCCACGTTGATGCCTCCCTGCAGGCCGCCACCCAGCTCGTCATCTCCTCCGACCTCAATCTGGTACGACTTCATGAATCTTCCGAGTTCCAGGTTCATGCGAAAGACCTCTCCTTTGCCGTCAGCGTCGATGCCAACAGCGGGAACGAGGGCTTCGGTGGAATGCCGGTCGTACACCAGATCTCGACCGTATCTAGGAATGCGCGCTTCGTAGTGGCAGCCCATGGGGGTGTGGAATTCGAGTTTTCGGTCGTTTTGGAGATGTAGGGATTTTGAGTAGTCGGTGGAGAGCAGGACGAAGGTCTCGTTGAGCGACGTCGTGTGTCTTGCGAATGACAGAGAGAGCTGAGGAAGATTGTGCACATGGAGCTGGGGTTTGTATGTGCCCGTGCTCATGACCCATTCGCCGTCTTCGCTGATCCGAATGCACTGACTGGCCTCTTCAAACTCGAAATCTTGGAGCAGCTCCACGCGGTTCTGGTACTCGACATCGTTCTTCAGGCTGCGCTTCCGACGGCGAGCCAGCCAATCTGGAAGAGGGCGCGCGGTGGATGCGCCCGAGATTGTGTAGACGGGGACTGTCCCCGGGTTGGAGAGCTTCATGGCAAGAGGAGGGAACTGTCGACACCAGAGTTCCTTCTTGTTGAGAGATTTGCCGGAGAATTATCTTCAGTCGCAAATGTAGGTAGGTAGAGGCAAAGTTTCAACTGCTGGCTGGGCTGGCGTTTTGCGTCTAACAAAAAAAATCAAGGTGAAGAAAAAGTTGGCCCCACCTCGGTGAGAGGTGAGCAGAACGGGGTCTTTGTCTTGATTCGCCTCACCGAGCTGCCCAGCCAATCGCCTGCAACGCGCTGGATCCAGCACGCCTCGGACTCCCTGGACACCTTCCCAGCCCTGTCGGTTCTGCTCAGTCCGCGATGCGGTGCATCTCCAAGTTTGCTTAATCTTGTCTCCTCTTTTTTTGCTGGCCTGAGGCTGCGTATGCTGGCAATCAAAGGCATGTGGCTGACGTCTTGCTGAACACACTGCGCTCTTCTCGAATTCCGTGCTTCGGACGCCTCGTGACTCTACATATAACCGGCCCTTCGAGCATCGCGCGCCTGCTGAGGCGACGCTCCCCGACTGCCTCCCCGACCAGAGACGGCCCTCGTTGAGATGGAGCTCGGGAAGAACGGAGCCTCAGAATCGCCTCTCCTCCTCACCAGTGCTTCTTGAACTCGATCATTGCCCTCGTCCTCTCCGGCCTCTGGTTGGACCGTTTGCGCGATAGTAGAGCTTGGGACGCCGTGGCTCCGTGTCGACGACGGCCAACTGCGCTGTCACCGGCTGCCACGAGCCGATTCACCTACAAGCAGTCGCTATGGATACTGGAGAATATGAAACTAACACACTGTTGATTGTGAGTCGGGCACCTGTCTTGATGGCTCTCCCATCCCCTCCTCTTCGGCTGACCCCGGAGTCTAGAATAATGTCTCGTCGATCGCTTATCGTCTGTACGAACCGGTCCCCAGCCTGTCGCAAAACTTCGCTTCGACTGCTCTCGACATCGAAAACTCGCTAAGGGAAAAGGGCCACGTCGTTTTATACGATGCGACGAAAAGGGGGCTGTGGCACTTTCAGTTTCTTCCCAAGGATGCGAGGTTGGATGATTTGGGCGACGGCCTCGAGCTGCCGCCCGATGTGACCGGACAAGGCCTGGCTGTAAAAGAGCATGGTGTCATAGAGCCTCCGATAATACAAAAGCCTCGTTCCCAAGCGCCCCAGTCCAGCATCACTCCCACGAGCCTCTTGTCGACGTCCTCCATTCTAGAGCAGGCCCACCGTCCAGCCCTCTCGTCGCCACTGCAAACCACCGCGCCCGCCTTGCAAGACCAGGACCCGAAGGCCGAGACCAAGCCCAAAGCGACAACAGCTCAGAGGACGCTCTACGAAAAGTTCATTGCGTCCGTTTTGTCGACGTTATCTACCACGTTTTGTCGCCGAACCGGGGCTATACCTCTCAACTACCGAACCGTTCTGCTCTCTCCAACGACATACAATGCGCTGCCGCACGCAGTTGCCGTGGGCAGGCCACAGATACTGGGTACCTTCAGAGTGTACTTGACGACAACGGGAGCAATGATGATTGGCCTGGCTCTAACAAAATGCCGGGGGATCTTGTCACTGGACGATGCTGTTCCCTCGGGTCTAGCTCCTCCGGGCTATTCTGTTCTTGCGGCCCCTTTTGGCATCATGACCGCTGCCCAGAGTTTTCTCCCCGGTGGTGACGGCTCGATGAGCTTGGCACAGACACCGATGACGCAGTTTTTCAACTTCCGCGGCGGAGTCGATGGACAAGAGTCGGTATGGAAACAAGCCTGCCTGCGGTTCTTGAATTTCCGGGGTATAGCTGCCTCAACGCTGAGTGGCTGCCTCTGGGTGAATCTCTCAGTCCCCAAGCCAAAGAACCCAGACAGCAGAGGCGATCACCGATTTTCAAGCGCACACTCTTCATTCACGCTGCCATGGCCCAGGCGTCTGTGTTTCCGCAAAAAGAATGTCGACGTATCCTCGACCAGCCGTGTGGTGGACACTGTGTTGAGCGGCCATGAGGAGAGTCACGATCCTCTGGGCAATACTAAGGGATGGTATACGTCCCTTACGGAAAGGGAAGAGAGGGCGAAACGGGCTATGGAGCGGGCAGCCAATATCCTCAAGGAGCAGAATCAAAACACGGAGTCAAAGACGCCCAGGCCGAGTGGCTTGTCGCCTGCAGCTCTACAGCGTCCCAATACGGCAACAGCTGGCATCATGTATCCAACGCCGCCAGACGGGGTTCACCAGCTGAATGGCGTAACTCCGTCCATCGATGGCACGCTTTCCAGCCCCGGAAACCCGTTATCGGCACCAGTTGCTGCAGAAACTGATACTATCGTGCAGGGCGAGCCACCTGGTGGCGACAGCCTCGACCAGCCCCTGGAGTTCGCAGAGTCTAAACGACAGCGGAGCGACAGTAATCTCCTTGGTGATGCTGATCAAATATTCGAGGGCGACGTGGGAGGGGACATTTTTGACGACAATGACATTACTGAGGCTGACTTTAACTTCTTCGACGAGAAGCCAGGCGACGTGGATTCTGATATTCCCATGGCGGGCATGCCTGGCTCGGAAATGGCACTCCCTCCGCCACCCCAAGCCGTTGAAGGGACTGTACTTCTAGGCGACACTGCGCCACTTGCCCCGGTGCCAATGCCCGCTTCTCTGCCGCATCACCCTCCCGTCCCTCTCCCATCTACAACTGCGGCTCAGGCTGCTACTTCTGCGCTTGCGCCAATTCCTTCACTCCCACCACCGCCACATACCGCGCTCCCTCCCCCTCCGCCGCCTCCCTCTCAAGACAGAGTAGTCTTTGCCAAACCAGAGCTGAAGCATGCCAGAAGCCAGAATGAAGATCAAGCCCGTCGCAACCGAGGGGATATCCGGGTAACGCCTGCGAAACGCGAGTCCAGCCCCTTTGATCCTCATGCGGTGTTTAAGCGCGTGAAGGCGTCCCTCAAGATACAGAAACACGATGCTAAGGGTTCCTCTCAGCCTACGGGGAGGAAGGCTAAGATCTTTGAGAGCCTCGACTTCGACCCAGCGTTGCCCCTGATCAATAAGAAGTACGAGCAAGGAGGCTTTTTCGACCCGAGCGCACTCTCAAAGGTGGAAAAGATGGAGAAGCCGAACTTGGATCTGCGGGCTGTGCCTGAAACTGACTATCTGAAGCGGCATGGAAAACTCAACAGGAAGCAACGGGAGCGACCAGGCACTCGAAGTGCCATGAGCAAGCCATACTCTGCACTGGAGCTGCAAGGTTCGACGGGTAGCCCAATGAAACTGGATGGATCAATATCCGAAGGCGAGGAGAGCAGCGTCGAATCGGACCAGGATGACTCCAGCTACACATCGGACGAGCCCGGTTCACCGCATAAGGCCAGTATCAGGTTGATCAACGGGGACGACGATATCCTCTCTCAGATCACCTCACTGAGAGATGGTGACATCGAAGAGCCCGACCACCAGCTCGCAATGGAGTTGCCACGGCTCTCCAAGTCTGACATGTCCGGAGCACCGCTCTCTTTATTGTTCTCGGATCCGGAACCCCTGATGCTGGACATGGCCCTGAATGACGATGATATGATCCAGATTGCGCAGATTGTGACGGAGCAAGCAGCAACAGGTGGACTGGACATTTTCAGAGCGTCGGATTTTGAGCCACCTACCCTCTCAGCCAGCCAGAAGCGTCAAGAGCTATCAACATATGGCCGAGACGCCTTTCATACACTGGAAGAGGTCGTTGGACAATTCTTTGGAGACGCGATGCCCATGCGTCTGAAAGGCTTGCTGGATCTCCAGGACATGCCGCTTTTGAGTCAGTTCCAACCACGGCAGATACCCGGCCGAGAAGGAAATCCCGAGGCCATGCGGCCAAGCAACCTGTATCAGATCCCGAGCCCGCATTTGGAGGTGCAAAGAGCAGACACGAAACTGTCCGTCCTGCCCTCTGCGGTTTCCTTTTGGGAGAGCTTGGGTCTCTCCCCATCTTCCGGCAGCAAGAACATCAACGCGATTTGTGTCTTTCCCGGATGGCCTGGAATGAGAGACAACGTCCAGACCTTTCTGGACCGCATCAAGAGCGTTTACGAGTTTTTGAAACTGGGCTCTTTCGATGTCATGCCTCTCGGTGCGGATATGGAACCAGGGCTTCTGCCGTACGAGGTTGATCGGATAACCACTTCTCCAGATGCCACCGTGACGGGACATGGTTCGGCCATGATTGAAAGCCTGGAAACGCTGCGCGGGTTGTTCACCAACCTCTCCATTACCGAGACGAACTTTGTCATATACTTTGTCTACTCGCCGGACAACCCCGGAACCATTATCGAGTCTTGCACGGCTTTCCAGAGATTTTTCGAAACCTATCAAAAGATTCTAGCAACCCGCAAGGAGCCTCCTCAGAATGAGCTCGTTTTGCAGCTAGTATCGGCTGATCTGCTCTCTTCGCCCACGGCCTTGGTTGTCACACCGACCTCGGACCTCGTCAGACTCTGCATCGAGACGTACGATCGCTGCACTCTCTTCGGAGGTCCAATGCCGGCCCCAGCGATTAGGCTCGAGCAGCTCCTACCGCGCATCATTGATTTCAAGCTGACCACGAACCCTTCAGCGTCGCTCATTCGCGAGAACTCGTGCATTCATGTAGCATATGCTCAAAGCGTCGACGAGCGATGGATTACGGCGGCGTGGACAGACGACAGAGGGAACCAGCAAGCAACGGCTTCCTACTGCTTGGCAAGGAAGGGCAAGCCACCGTCTCGTAACATGAACGACATTGCCCATGAAATATGGGAGACTACGCTCGAACTGATATCCGCCTGGAAGGTTCTTTGGAGGGTCATCATCACCAAATGTGGGCCGATGCCACAGCACGAGATGGACTTTTGGGTTGACCTTGCCCGCACCGAGATCAACGCCAAAGTCACGGTCGCCTTGCTTACCGTCGATACGAATCCGTCGCTCCAGCTTCTGCCGCCTGTGGTGAGGCTTCCACCACCCTCGGCCGCTCTCCATACGCCCGTCTCTACGCCGCAGGCGAATGTTCTCTCCCCCGAGCAGATCAACACTCCCGCGACCCCCGCAGCCAACGTGACGGCGGCTACACCTTCTGGCGATGGCAGCGCCTCCAATGCCAACACTGCCGAAGCGGATTCGGACGCCATCTTGGTCGACGTAACCGATCAGACGTGGGGGGCGATTGCAGGCCACCGGCTCAGCAATTCTACAAGCATTCTGGAAGTGCAGCCCGCACTGATCAGTGGCTATCTGATCAAGCGGACAGGAATCAGAGTAGAAGATGCCCCTGTCGCGATGGAGGTCAACTTGGTCTACACAGAAGCAATGCCACGCGTGCACGAGCCCCTCTTTCGAGAGATGTTGGGCTATTTCAGAGGGCTGGGTACTCTGGCTCGGGCCCGCGGAGTGGTGGATAGGGAGGCCGACGTGCGGCCCTGGCATGTTGCGGCTGCCGAGAAGGCTGCGCGTGCGTTGTATCTGTTGATGTGACGGACTTGTCCGTGTTCTCTATTAGAAAGACGGGGAAATCGAGGAAGGGGAAGGGGCCTGCCTGCTTTTTATCTTGTTTTTTGTTCTTCTTGTTGATACCTTTTGTAACGAGGCACATTGGAAGCCCCAGCTTTTGAGGCGTTTATTTTGTTTTGTCGGCGTTGGAAATGGGCTCGTCGGGGCTGGTGATGGTGTCCATTTCTGAGCAATTGGATGATAGAACAGGGGGGGTGGGTGGGCAGACGGAGGAGAGCAACCGCATGAGCAACTGTTTCTCGTTTGACGATTCCGCATATGCATACCTATGGATTGGAGATGATGCTACGGACTGTAGATAGATTCAACATGTTGGTGCATCCGAGGGTCTGGTGGCTGGGAGTATCTGATATCAGCCTCGAGCGTGAGAGCAACGGTTCCGTAAAAGAAGAGAAGAGATGAAAGTGAGGTTTATGAGAGGAAGAGGGGGAGCGTGGCAGCTTCAACTCATACAGCACGGAATATATATGAAAAACATCCCGCAGTAATGTCTATTGAGATGAAACCATGATGATCACGACGATGTTATACAGACAGCAGCTTATCATTATCGAAGGATTCATCAAAAGTCCAGGTTAGGCAGCATCGTGCACTTAGTAAGACGACCCGCTAGACGCAGACAGGATCTTGCCTCTTGTCAGGTACGCGACTGCACAAGAGCCCATCTTCCCCTCTCCTTCACGTTTCCAAGTCAGATCCTATCTATTTTCTTTTATTTCTCAGCAGGGAGAAAAGGAGTAGCCTGGAGTGAGTCAGAAGTTCTGGGTTTGCCACCATTTGAGGATCAACTCGCCTTGCGTCACACTGGTCCCGAGTTTTTAGTGAGTTTTAGCGGATGAATCATCATCATGCAGGCGAAACTGCGGCGAGACTTTGATGCTGATGGTGAATTCGAGCCTCGTCAAGCATGGAATAGATAAAAATCATCTGCGTTTTCGCAACGACGATTCTTTTCGTCTTCATTACTCATCGTTTGTTTTTTCCTGCAATTCACGCACAAGAGACATAGACTTTTCGTTTGATTCTGGCTCTGAACAAGTAATTCATAATGACCAGGCCATCGCTGGCAACCCTGCCCGACGACCTCATCCTCGACATCGTCCAGCATCTCGACACAGCCCGCGACGTCGCCCATCTGGGGGGCACCTCGCGACACGCCCATGCGGTTATCAACCAGAGCGGCTGGCGGAGCTTTGTGAGGGCCAAGTTCCCCTCCATTGACGCTCCCACGGGGCTCCTCGGCGGATGGAACGCCGTGGCAGACCGCCTGACGTATCTGGACCGGTGCTGGGACACTCGTGGGTTTCACCTGACGGTGTACGGGGAGAAGTCGCCGGCGCGGCCCAAGAGGAGGGACTTTGCGAGGAGCAGGCAGTCGGTCAACTTCCACTCCGTCATCGATGCCACGACGCTTCTGTCGACGCAGGAGGAGCTGCTGGCGTACGGGGCCGGAGAGAACCTGGTGCTCGGACGGAGAGGCGTGAGCGGCAAGGGCCAAAGCCGCTGGAGCAAGCTGGGAGGCCGCGAGACGGGGTATGCGGCCGGGACGGGAGACGTGACGGCCGTCAGCATCATTGAGCGCCAGCGGTTCCCAGAGGTGGTTGTCGGAAGGGCTGACGGTGATCTCCAACTGCTGGCCGTTGGAGACGAGACGCTGTCAGAGGCATCTCAGAGCTTTGCTTCCATACACGACGCCGCCAGTTCAGCAAAAGCTCCCCTGACACGGAGGTCTCCCGGGCAGAGAGCCGTCTCATGGACGGAGTGGCAGCCCGAGGCGAAGCTGCTGGCAAGCTGCAGAAGCTCCGTCTTGACGCTGTACAATCTTTCAGATACCGAGGAGGCGGCGGCGCTGAAACCGGTGCTCTTCTATGACGTGTCCAAGGATAGCTCTGCGGATGAGGTCTCGCTCCTACGCAGCGTCAAGTTCATGAGCCAGGATGTGGTTGCCTGCGGAATTGGTGGCAGCAGTGAGCCTTTGCGATGGGCCAAGATTCGACCTACGGGGATCGAGTTTTTCAATGCAGCCAGGAATTTCAATCTGAGCGAGGACAAGGCCTCTGCGGAGAAGACGACGGTGCGAGCCATTCAGCCAGTCAAAAGGATGAACGAGAACCTGCTGCTCAGCGCCTGGGACGATGGAAGCCATAGGTAAGAGGACAACCCAGCTCGAAAGTTGAAGGGAGGCCCCTTTTGAAGCAGCTAACTCAACATGCGACTGCCAGGCTTTCTGATTTGCGAACCCCTTCAGACCACGATGTCTTGTATCGCGATGGCTTCCAGCCGTACCAAGCGAGCAGCTCCATGCTCGTATACGGATCCGAGCGCTTCGTGGCCGGCAACAACTGCAGCCCCGACCTCCGCTTCTTCGACTTCCGTTTCCCCAAGGCGTACCATCACACCAGCGCCCTGCCGTGCAGTGCAAACGCGCCTTTCCCCGGACGGCCCTATCAGTACGGTGCCGTCAACGACCTCGATGGGCTTCAGCTGGACCCGGTCGACCAGTGCGACTCGTCGTCTGGTCGGACATGCACCTTCCACCATCTCTCACGACAGGACAGTTGGCGGCCGGACGCAGTCATGCACATCTACTCGTCCTCCATGGACCGAGTCCACAGCCTAGCCAAAGCATCAGACGTGTCGACGTCCTTCTACTGCGGCGTCAGAGGAGCCCTCGTGGAGGCGACGTATGCCGTGGCCGAAGACGTGGACGCGGTTGCTTCGCGCCGGTCGGCGCCGGAGGGGTGGCAGGCCAACGACCCGGAGGGAAGAGCCTCGCTGATCGAGACGGGCGTGGGCCGCCGGGACGGGGAGTCGCAGCTGGAGGAGCAGACGCAGACGAGGATGCCGGAGCTGTACTATTACGAACGGTGGTCGATTCCAGAGATGGATGGTCTGGAAGGGGGAGGAGGGATGGGGATGAAGAGAGAGACGGGGCGGCGTCTGGACCCGGCGCTGGTGCCAAGTCGAAGGGGTAGATGATGAAGGGGTTCACATCATGACAACTTTTTATGACTTGACAGAGAATACCAAGAGTATCAGATTCGCGAGATGCATAGAGAAAGAAAAAGATGAGATGATACAATGAGCAGATCTTGGGATGCACCTTTGTGTCCCAGCTGGCTATATTCGCAAAAAAAATAGAATAGGAGCAAATTATACAATGCTTTATCCTCGTCAACCTCCCCACCTCGACGCCTCCCGTCACTTCCGTCCTCACAACTTCGAATCCGACACAATCATGGATAGCTTCTCCCGCAACGTCGCCTCGGCCTCCTTCTCAATACGAGCAACCAGCTCAGCACACGTCGGGATGTCGTGAATCAGGCCCATGACCTGGCCCGTCGTCCACACCTGTTTTGTCACCAAACTGTTAACGAAAAACCACGCCCCAAAGCAGAATCAAGTAAAAGACGACACAAATGGGCAAAGGGGGAAGGAGGAAAATAACTCACTCCATGCTCCGGATCGCCGTTGATAAAGACCTCCTTGCCCCTCTTGCCGCTCACAAAGGGCGCCACCTCGGAAAACTCGCCCGTCTTGCTCTCCCGCTCGACCTTGAGCGCCTCCTCGGCGACCTTGTTCTTGTACAGCCGCGTGGTGTTGGTCCAGCGCCTCAGCAGCAGCGCCGTGTCCGTCTCCTGGCCCCTGACAATGGCCTCCTTGATGTTGCGGTGCACGGGCGCCTCCTCGGTGCAGACGAAGCGCGTGCCCATGTTGATGCCGCAGGCGCCGAGCACCAGCGCCGCCGCGAGCCCCTGCCCGTCGGCGAAGCCGCCCGACGCGATGAAGGGCGTCTTGAGCGTCTGCCGCGCGCGGCCCAGCAGGATGAAGTTGGTGATGTCGCTCTCGCCGACGTGGCCCGCGCACTCGAAGCCGTCGATGCTGAGGAAGTCAACGCCCAGCTTGACCGCGCTCTGGGCGTGCCGGATCGTGGTGCACTTGTGCAGCACCGTGACGCCGGCCTGCTTCAGCTGGCGGATGACGGGGCCGGGCGAGTTGCCCGCCGTCTCGACGATCTTGACGCCCTCGTCGATGATGGCCTGCGCGTACGCCGGGTAGTCGGGCGGCAGCAGCGACGGCAGCAGCGTCAGGTTGACGCCGAACGGCTTGTCCGTCAGGCTGCGGCAGCGGCGGATCTCGGCGCGCAGGGCGTCGGGCGTGGGCGAGATGAGCGCCGTGATGATGCCCAGGCCGCCGGCGTTGGAGACGGCCGACGCGAGGTCTGCGGTGCCGACGTGCATGAGGCCGCCCTGGATGACGGGGACTTTTTGCGACTTCGATCAGCGGGGAGGGTTTTTGAGGGTTGAGGGGGATATAGCATACCGCGGATGCCGAGACGGCGGGTGAGTTCTGTGTTGAAAGGCATCGTGTGGGAATGTGTTGCGAGTCCTGTCTGTCCTGTTCGTCTAGTCGAGCACAACGGCGGTGCTGCTGATTCTATCCTCAGCCCTACTCTATGAGATGTCCAGTCCAGAGATGATACAACAAATAAGATGGCCGTCTTTCTTACTCTCGTCTAGTGAAATGTCTTCTCTAATTCAAGCCACCAATGATAAGAAAAGAATCACAAACATCAGCACGAACCCAACATCTTTTAAAAAAGAGAAGAAGCATTCCCCCGTCTCACGTCCCCGAAAGCAGACGTGCCATTTACCGTTATGCCGAGGCACGTCGTCCCCCGGCTGACGTGACCCCCAGAGAAGTCTAGTCTACCTTGGGTGGTCCTTTTAGTGGGCATCTCTCTTGCCATGGGGAAAGCTCGGCCCCCGCGTTTTCTCATTCTCCGGCTGCTTCACATGCAAAATGTCAGCCGTAGTGATTCGATCTGCTGTTAGCATCGTGGTCTTTCATATGCACCTAGGTAGTTGCTGGTGATAATTGTGCATATTCTTGCAATAAGTGTATACAACTACGATTTTAGGTATAGATTGAAGTCATTTGCCTTCACATATACCAGGCAGTACGGGTAGCTGGAGTCTGGATTAAGAATTGGAATGCTTGGTCGTGTGCTTCATCTTCTTGGGGGATCAGTAATCCCGCCAACGTCGGTGGAGCTGCATCCTCCCTCGGTTCAATCGCCCTGCCGTGCTTCGTCAACTGGCAGTTCAACTTCAATATCCGTTATGGATTCATTCGTTGGCCTTTCATCTGCAGGGCGGGTATCATTTGTGTAACTGCATGCTCTGTACGCCATGAATACCTTATGTTGTAGAGGAGCGGAGGGGAGCAACCCTTCATCTTAACAAACTACCTACCGACCCGTTACACACGTCCAAATCCTAGACTACCATACCTATCCATTCAGATCCCACGCACATCCAGTATGAATCCACATGTACAATTTGTCCCCCGTTTACCAGAATCAGATATTCCGTCCCATTTATGCGAGCTAGCCAGCTCCAGCATGGTATCCAGTGTATCCAAAATCCAACGCCCGTCGTCTGCTATAAGCGCGACACCCTCGCTCATACTAACAAGCACTTCGTCGACATCCCGTCAGCGAATCCTCAGTGCCACCTAGCTACTCAAGCCATGGCCGCATTGGGTGCCAGGGCCACGCGGTCCCTCGGCTTGTCCACCAGATCAGCGTAGCCGTCCAGGCTGGCACCCATCGTCTTGATCATGTCGAAAATGTGAGTGCCCTTGAACGTCTCGCCCCAGAGGCGTACAACTGCACTTGCGAGTTGTCTCAGCTTCATGGGATCGGTGGTTGCTGCTTCCAACTGGGGGTTTGCATTCGCACCAGTCAAAGACGGATCAACGGGAACGGCGAATTCCGTTTCGTCCAGCATTCTTCTCACTGTTTCCAAAAGATTCCTCTCGTCGAGAGTGATGGGAGCATCAGATGGTGTCAGAGACCCCAGCGTCAAAAGCCACTTGGCTAGAAGGAGCGCACACTCAAAATTGCACACTGTCAAGGCATGTGGTCAGCTTCTGCTTCACCAAAATCAGGGAAACAAGTTATCAAAGAGGCAAGCAACTTACACGAGTGCTGAATGCTCCATTCGGTAGACTTGGTCCTCGCAACGTAGTTGACACCCGCCTTGACCAGCATGGACAACGCATGGACGGCTTGAAACACTGCCCCGTGGAGCCGCACACTGCGTACAAGCAGAGGGGTGGAAATCATGGCCGAAGCCATCAGCATCGAGTCCCTCGTCTGCAGCTCTTTGCTGGGAGGAGTGTCGCTGTACAGTCGAATGTATGCAAGACGCAGAAGAGCCGTCGCGTTATACGCCAGCAGGCCGCCGGGAGAAAAGTCCGTGCTGGCAAACGGCCCGGAGCCCGTGGCGAGAAGGTAGTGATGCTGCTCGACCGTGGTATGCCATACCCGGAGTGCCTGCGTGACTTCTTCCACATCCTCCGGCTTCAAGGTACGCTGCGCCTCAAACGGCAGGCCGGCCGCTAGTGACGTTTGCTTCAAGAAGTACACGTGCTGGATCAGAACGTGGATGAGAACGTAGAATCCCAGCGATGACAGATGGTTTGGCAGCCCTTGGTTGGTTCGGCCAAACAGCCGCGCGATGGCCTCGTGAACGGTAATCTCCACCATGGGCGTCGATTGCCGCAGCTCTTGCCATTGCCACGCCGTTTCCGCTCTCCAGAGCCTGGCAGGAAGAGGTAGCGAGAGCTTGAGCTCAGATGTGACTAGTAGAGGCGGCAAGTCGTATGCGATACTGCAGAGATTGAAGAAGGAGTAAGCAATCAGCTTGGTCCTCGTCGCCCCCTCGCGCTTGATCCAAGCATCCCAGTCTGTCACGCTTGCCTGGCTAACGTCCTCGGTGAGGCCCTCCTCTCGGATCAGAATTGCCAACGTGCTCTGAAGCGACAGCGCCTCGTTGAGGATCGTCTTGGCCCCCCAGAGACCGACAGAGAAGAGGAGCAGGACGGCTTGGATTGTTTCCAGTCGTGACTGGGGCGTGTTAGGGGAGCTATGTGACAAAGGTGAATGAGTATTGACATGTCAATCAAAGCACATGAGTAATTAGACAACTTACTAAGGCTCTCGATGTGTGTCCTGGGTAATCGGCCTCTCCGACTGTGCCGACGCAAAGGAATGCCGATAGGAAGTGCTGGGCGAAGGCCGCGTCGAGTGAGGACTGTAAGAGGAGGCATTGGGCAAGAGGGCATGAATCTCCGAGCTATGCCGCCGTCGAATCTGCTCCATTGCGACCGACTTGGCGGCATACCAGAGGGCATATCCCCTCTTGCTCTCGAATCTGTACTGCGCTCCAACAGCTAGAATGGCGAGAAGCAGCTCCGGGGCGAGCTCTGTAGGGGACAGCGTGGGCAGGTGAAGAAAGGGCAGCTGCTCGTGAAAGCCGCTTATGTATCCCTCCAAGAAGCGAGTGAGCGTGTAGCGAGAGGGAAAGACAAAGTCGGCGGGCAGCACGGTCGAGAACTCCTCAAGGCGGTTCTTGATGATGCCGTGGTCGACCACCGAGATTCGGAGAGGAGACCTCGAGGGCTCCTCATGTAAGCGGGAGGTGGGCTCCTGTGCATCAGGGGCCAGAGACCCAAAGCGGGAGGGAAGTTGCGAATTTGGCTTGGAATTGCCCCGCTGGAAGACGGCCGGCGACCGTGCAAAGAAACTCATCTGCTGATCAGGCTCAAAATGCGGAGGAAGGAAGTGCTGCGGCGTCGTGTAGTCGTCAAGAAACAGGTTGTAATCCTCGTAGGCCGGCTGCTGAGCCTGGGGGCCAAATCCAGCTGTGAGAATGGGCGGATCTGCCCGCGGGCGGTCCGCATATCCCTCGATGGTGTCCGGATAGCTCTTGACCCTAGAGTGCGTCGGGGGCTGCTGGGGCATGTCGTTGAGCAAGGGCTGCATGGTGTTGACCTCGCTCGCCAGGGCGGCATCAGAAAGAAGATCAAGGTTGCAAGCTGCCGTTCGAGCCGCTACTTGGGCGTTCTGTTGACCGAGATGACCCCCTCCATCTTGACCGATGGACCCGTGATGGTACGGCGGTGGTGGTGCCTGGGCCTGATGTTGCTGTTGTTGCTGCTGCTGTTGCGGCGGCGATGGCTGTGGAGGGAGCAGCGTAGTGGTGGTAGGGGGAGGCGGAGGGGGCGGCCGCAGCCGGTGAATTCCCATGGCGTCGAGGTCGACATGGCTATCAGAAAGAGATGGCTTGTGCAGAGACGTGCCGGAGAGCTTCCTCGGCCGAGAGGGGTCCTTGTGGCCTTCATTCAGATGAACGAGCTTCTCGTGCCGGACGAGAAGGTCACTGATGTCCATGTAAGTAAGTGTAGCCCAACGCAAGCCGGGACAGTGTAAGTGCAGCGAGGAGATGGCCAGTGAAGAGTGGATCAAGATGAGAAGAATGACAGAACTTGAGGCTTAGGGCATGAAGCTCAGAGTGAGGCTAGGAAAGGCAGTTTGGAAGAGGGGAAAGGGGGAATATGTAATGCAATGAGGAGACGCGGGTACCGGTATGGGTACAAACACCGCATAAAGGGACATGGTATCGCATCACATCGTACCGAACCGCGCCATGGTCTTGTAAATGGAGAGGAGGGTGTACATGAGGAGGAAGACGGGCTCGATAAGAAAGATGACAAACAAAAGAACATGGGATTCGACTCGTCTGCTAGGAGGAGGCAACTTACCGGCGCCCAAATGTTTTCCCACAACGATCCCAGCCGCAGGAAAAGGGTTTCTCCTTAGTATGTGTCCTCTCGTGTCTTTGGACATGCTCGACGCGTCTGCAACTCGGGGAGAAAAAGGTCATGTGAGCAACACGGCACGATAGCAGCAACGGAGTTGGACAAGCTTAAACAGCAGCACTGGACGGAGCGGGCTCGACTGACCTAAAGCGCTTGCTACAATACTTGCAAGGCAACGTCTTGGGTTTCTGGTTGCGGTTCTCGCCCACGTCGGCAATGGCGAGGGCGGTGGGTTGATCTGGCGGAGGCAGAGCGACCGGGCCGTCCATGGCCTGGAGCGGGAGCATTACGAGAAGAAGCGAGCAGGCCGTCAAGGTATGGTATAAGTGACAAGGAGCGGGCGAGGCAGCGAGGCAGGCTGCACAGAATTGGGGGGTTGGAGGAGGTGGAGGATGTGGGGGGATGGGATGGGATGGATGGGATGAGATCAAGGGACGGCAGCTCGAGCAAACGACAACCAGACAGCCGGACAGGCAGGTGGACGGAGCATCAACAGAGTCAGACCTCGAGAGACGATGAGACACGGCTAAGAGGAAACAGCAGTGTGGGGTCGGCCAGATTGGCTCTCGGTCTGGTAATCTGCACCCGCAGTGCCCAGGAGAAGAGGTGGCCGACTATGTAGCCGACTTGGGGGGGAGCAGGTAGAGAGGCAGAGGCAGAGGCAGAGGCAGAAGCAGAGAGGAGGCGATGGAGGGCTGT